TTTAGGGTTAGGGTTAGGGTTAGGGTTAGAATTAGGGTTAGGGTTAGGGTTAGGCGCCCCCATACTGCGCCGCCATACTGGACGTCATAAAGTGTATTTGCACCCAAAAGTGCAATATGGTCCAACTTAAATTAAAATATATTAATTACTGGTATCAGTAGTATAATTACTACTAGTAGTAGTAGCAGAATTCGTAACCAATTAAGTACCATACCCTATTAACTTGCTTCTAAGACGAATCGTTTCATCTTTATCATACTTTTCTAACGGTAGTGCCACAGGCGCCTTGCCGTTCAGCTCTTGAACTTCCATGACGTCTGATCCTACTAGCCTTATCACGTTTGACGTGCTACACGGGCGTATATTCAACCGCGCCGCTGATATGCATATATGGGTTATGCAGAATTTTTTACCGTGATGAAACGACCTTTGCAACACACTCGCTCTGTACATCGCACAAGCCAAGGTTCAGCTGATTTCACTCTTCATTTCGCCTGCTGCAGCTAATCGCTAACAATAACAATCACTGGTGCCATCTATCGGCGATTAACTCTATTATTTGGATGCAGTTCAAACAGATGGCTCGATCTCAGAGCCATAGATAGAGAGTTCCCATAGCTTCTATCTATGCCGCTCAGCTAGTTTTACAGAGGCACTAAATTTGGGAAATACATGAAGTGGAGGATTAAAACGGATTGCTTTGCATTTTTGCCACTCGCTTTCTGGTATTGATGCCTGATTGGGTGGATAGGATTAGGAGGCAATCTCACCAGGATCCACCAGTGAATTCAGAGCACAAACGGACACGCAAGCGCACGCACGCACGCACGCACGCACGCACTAGCACACGCGCGCGGACCCTATAACGCACGCACACACTCACACGCGCGCATTCGCTCGCACACGCACGCACTCACACACGCGAGTACGCTCTCACATACACATGCCCGCATACACGCGAGCACACACTTACGCACGCACACGGACTCACACGCGCGCATGCGAACTTAAACGCGGGCGCACTAGCACGCGCACACACCCGCGCGCACACGAACGCACGCATGCACACGAATACGTGTACGAATATATGCAAACGCATGCACGCGTGCGTGTACGAATATATGCAAACGCACATGCTTGCATAAGCACACGCACGCACATCCACACGCGCACACATGCGCACGCGCACTCACACAGGCGCGCTCTCACACGCGCGCACGCACTCACACAGGCACACGCACTCGTGTACTCGCTGCTATATATGAGCGCACGCACTCACTCACGCACGCACGCACGCACGCACACACACATACACACTCTCTCTCTCCCTTTCTCTATTTTTCTCTCTCTCTCTCTCTTCTTTCTCTCACTCCCTCTCCCTCTGTCTATGTCTCTCTCTCTCTCTCTCTCT